TGAAATGCTTTACCAAAATCAAAATAAGGCCTGTTTTTTGAATACTGTTCAGACAAAGCCACAGCCTACAACTTATCGATTTCGTTGACCTTGTTACAATGTAGGTCAGCCCGTAAAGTAAATTCAGGAATTGTGTAACATCGGAAATAACTCATTATTGAAACGGGAAAGCACTTACAAAAACCCCCCGAGAGGTGCTTCCACAGGGCAAAGTCCTCAATTTAAGGGCGTGCAGAAAGGCATATTCTATTTCAGACAAAATAAAACATACGAAAGTTACTAAGAAACCTTGTAAGGATAGTTGATAAATATCCCCATTGTATCACATAGCCCCAAAAATCTGTAAAGTGCGCATGATTGTTGTCTTGAAATATTTTTCTTAAATATAGCAATAGCGCATAAAAATATTTATTTATTATAGTGGAAACTAGTCGTTAAATTTACTGAAATAAGTTCAATGATACTTTATGCACAGATACTCAGATGCAATAGAAACATTATATTATTAAAGTAACCTTTTATTAGTTGTAACGTTTATGACATTTATATGACTTTGGAGTTGCCTTATCGCGCTTGTAGGCTGTTTGCATATATGGGCATCTAAAGGAAAGGGAGATTTACACTTGTTCAATATAATCTGTCTGGTTAGAAACACAAAAAGGTTAACCGTTTTCAACTGCAGTCATACCTGGCGCGCTTAAACTGCCCTATTGAAGTGTATTTGAGCAACCTCAAGAATGTTGTGCATAGTTCCTTTTAACTTCTGTCCTACCTGTAGTAGTGAACCTAGTGATTGCTATTCATATGCTTTTTCATCCTGCGTACCTGACGACCAGGGATCTGTAGGCGTCTAAGTCGTGGTTGTGCCCAGATCACTACAATTATTAGGTCGAATCCCAGGTTGGAGGCAAGGCAAGAGTCACCAGAATTAGGGTTTTATTGTGTACAGAACCCTGAGTTGCTGTCTCAGGTGTCTGTGGCCACTGACGAAGCCAGGTCTGGTCTCGACTGCGTCCAGCCAGGCCTGAGAGAGTCGACTGAGTGTTGTGTGGGGTGATGTCAGTTGCTTTATCATGACTGTGAAGCGAGTTCAAGTGTTCTGTCATTGGTGTGTTGCCTGCAAAGGCCCCCTGCTGCGTTGGCCAAAGGGGTGGTGTGCTGGGGTCCTTAGGGAGCCGCGACTACTTGGGCACGCGTGTGCGTGCGTGTGTGCCCACGGATGTCTGCGAGTGGAAGTCGGTCAAGTGATCTTCAGGTCACCAAGTGGAACAGACGCTTGCGAAGGCACATGACGTTGGGGCAGCGCCTTCGGAGAATGAAGGGGAGAGAGACCTTGTGACTGTCCGCCACAGATCCTTTACTTCCTCTATATGCTCACACGGATCACATTTCTTTGACTAGGTCGAGACAGGACTGACAAGGCGTTCGCACACTTGTATCCTTGTGACACACATTCTGGTCTCTCAGTTGGCACAAAGCAGACTTCTCTGTTTCGGATGATGCGCTTAATTCGGATTATTGCATTATGTCGTTGCCTTGTCCATGAATTTTAGGCTGCCATTACGGCTCAAAAGGTAGCCGGCAGCTGCTATAAGTCATCGAAATTTAGAATCGTTCTGAAATTTAATTACTTTTGTGCGTGCGCCCCAGTGCTAGTCAGGTGTTAATTATTTTAAAGTCTTCTTGCATTTACAATGTGCATCTTAACCCTTCTAGCCGCACTCACTCAACATTGCAGCCGTTGAATAGTCATCATGCGTGCCTGTAGTATTTTACGGTGTTAGCTGCATTTTATTCAACTTAATTTTGAAGATTGTGTAAACAGCAACATTGATTGGATCCATTACTTTCGAGAGAAATCATCAGTTGCTTCCTCTCATTGCATAACATCAATAACGTAAGAGAATATACAAAAGTAAATTAATACAGAAAAATCGATGCAAACCGCAAGGTCATAGGAAATGGCCAAGAGGCTTATCAATAATCTAAGAAAGTTAAAACGCTGTGGGTAGCAAAAAACGGAGAAAAGAAGTCCAAGGCCAAAAAAGTTGGGAAGGGAAATGTGTAAACAGGGAGCTGGTGTTATGACGGCAGAGTTTGGTTCACCACATGTTCCAGCTGTTTACATAGGTCGGATTTAAACCGCCTTATGTAGGCTGCCTCCAGGTAGTGTAAGGTACGAGTTGTTCGTGCCCGAACAAGTACTCGGGACACAGAATGGCCCGTGTCTAGCAGATGCTCAGTAATCGATGAACGGGGAGTTCTGTTTTCTTGTTTGAATAACCAGCTAGGTAAATGCTCCTTAGCTCTGGCAGCCAATAGCTGTTGCGTTCGCCCTATGTGCTTGCGTCTTCTAGTGCATGTAAATTCGCAAACACCGTTTGAAGTGGCGTGCAACGGCGCTTGCTGCTTGTATCGATTTTTCTGTATGAATTAAGTTTGTATTTTCTCTTACGTTATTCACTTTATGCAACGAGAGGAAGTTACTGATGAGCACTCTCTAAAGTAATGGATCCAATAAATTTTGCTGTTTACACAACCTTTAAAATCGCACCAGGGAAAAAAGTGCTCTAAATATTCAACCTAACTCAGAAAATCAGGCACCAACAGATGTACTTTTAAGCTGCCTATAACCCTTCCATCTTCCACGGACAAGATGTTACCCTGAGATAATATCTGTATGATTCGGGTCCGGCTGCCTAAACTTTTACATTGCCCATTTTTCGAAAACGCCAAACTGCTCAGTCTGTGTTTTTATTTACTTTAGATCTTTGAAAACACAATTTGGTACTGCGTCGCACGCAGGTGTTTGGGAACCCGACGTCGCAATCCCTCTTGATTTAAGGCTATGGTTGGGGGCGATTCTTCTTCGAATAAAGTGGAGGACTGCTCGGAGACCTGCTCTTACAAGCCAGCTAATATGCAAATCGTCAGAATTTTGCTCAACGATCAGTTGGGCAAATTGATTTGCCTGCACACCAAATTTAACGACTCTCCGGACCAGGACGCTATCGTTCTCCTTCAAAAGACCCCCTTTCCCAACGATGTGCAGGCACTCTGTGAGGCTCGTCTAGGACTTCCTTTCTCTGAGGACAAGAAGCAAAAAGTGGAGGGGAAGGCGCATAAAGGATCAGAGGAGAGTCTTGTATTCCCCGAGTGGAAAGCTGGCAGAGTTACAGACAATGACATCTACCACCGGCGTCTCGTGCAAGCCGGGCTCGAAGACCTAAACACCCTCAATATGACTGTGATCCACCCTGCGGGACCACAACATTTTGTCAAGTACACGGCTTCCGGACGTCGGTTGGTTCTCGAAACTCCAAAGATCTACTCCGAGGTCGTTTTGCCCTTCCTGGCGGCCAAACCTGGCGACCTAGCCTGGGTAGACAACCTTCTAAATGGGACAGCGGAGGTGGATAAAGTGCTCTTCACTGATCCGGACGAATCCTTGGGCTTTACCTTGGCCGTTGATTTCCGCTGGGATGGGCGCCAGTTAAATGAACTGCACT